CGGTCTCCCCCAAATTAATAATGGAGTCCTAGCCTGTAGTACCTCAGCATTTGATCTTATTTAGAGAATTGAATCTTTACAAAGGTAATCAAATTAAAAAATTAGGTCATCAGGGTGGGCCTTTAAGCCAGTATGACTGATATCCTTATAAAAAGGGGAAATTGGGACACAAACACATACAGAGGGAAGATGATATGAACAGACGTAGGGAGAAGATGGCCACTTATAAGCCCATGTAAAAAGCCTGGAGCAGATTTTCCCCTCACATCTTGTGTTTGGACTTCTAGCCTCCATAACGGAGACAATACATTTCCGTTGTTTCAGCTACCCAGTCTGTACTTTATGGCAGCCCTAGCAACCTAACACAAGGAGACTCCCATTTTTATATTTTTGTAGCATATGACATTGTTATAATGACTATGTATAGTCTATAATCAGAGCACCCCCCTTCCATTTTTAATTCTGAAAAACGAGAGAAGAGACAGAAGAGGGGAGAAGAGGACCAGGCATGACTATCACATAACTGGTTTTATTCCTCATCAGTAAATAGGGAGCGTACCTCCTGCTACTCACCCCCACCCAACACTGCCTTCTCTCTCTCGGGGGCCACGAGCTGAGAAGATCACTGGGCCCTGATCTGCTAGGTGACAACTAGCGTCTGGTCATGTAAGATGTCCCCAGTCCCATCTCCCTTCATTGCACACATCTGGTTCAGGCCTAGACCGAGTGTGGCATTTCTAACCATCTCACCCCACAAATCAGAAAGTCCCAGGTGCCTGCAAGCAGCTCGCACACTTTTACAAGCTCTGGCCCGTCATTCATGCAGAGGGGTTGCCTGCTCCGAAGCCACATTAGAATAACAAGCCAAAACCAGAATTCTTCCAACAATTCTTCCCCTGGGAAGATGTCTTGCTTTTCCGGGGGTGGGGGTGGGGTGGGGGGCAGCAGGGAGGAGCAGGGGCCCAGGAGAGGAGGGCACTGACTTGCAGGGGTCAAGGCCACCAGAGGGCTGGAAGGTTTAAGATAGCAGAGCTCTGCAAGACCATGTGCTCCAATCCTGGTCAAATAGGCTGAGCCAGATCTAGCCCTCTCAGCAGAACTGCTCAGACCGAGGCCCTGGACGTTCTGGCAAGTTGCCTGCATTGGTCCTGGAGGAATCCAGCCAGCCTAGTACACTTCTGCAGCTAGCCCTTGGGCTAGCAAGGAATCAAAGCCGAATTTAGAATTGCAGAGAGGTTAAGAAAAAGAAATCTTAACATATATGTGGTAGGTCTACTCACAAAATAGCCATAATGACTTCAGCCTCCTGTGCTTCAAGAGGTTGTCCTCTCCAGTTCCTGATGTTTCCTCAGGTTTCCAGAATACAGGAGGAACTGAGGACAGGACTAGCATTTCGAAGCGCCTCCTGTATAATGCACTGCCTTTGACCTTCCCAGAGGACAGGTGGTATTCCACTTGTTCTGCCTGAAAAAACCAAAGCTCCGAGAGGTGAACTCACTTGCCCAAGGGTTAATGGCTAACAATGACAGAGACACTGAGTCAAGATTGAATTAATGGACTTCATACCTGCTTTCTCACCTGAGTGGAAATGACCCTCTTCTCGGCAGGGGTTTAAAGGAGATGATGTGTGCAGCGCGCCCAGCTCCTGGCTGAGCACACAAGGCACCAGATGACCAGCTAATCCTGAGGCAGACTGCTGGGCCCAAGAAAGCAGCGAGGACTGAGCAAGGCTCTGGACCAAGTGACCCCTTTTCAAGCCCCCAGAGAGGTGAGCAGAGGTATGAGAGCAAGGCTGGGAAAGGACCAGGGCTCATCAAATTTCTTGAAAACATGTTTTCCATTGGATGTCTTCTTCCATGTTGGCTCTTCACCCCGCTATAATCTTTATGCCCCTCCTACTCCGAACAGATTTCGTGTTCTCTGATCATCTTTACATTAGTAACTTTACAGTTACTAATCTTTATGGCTTGTTTCTCTCCCCTTGCTTTCCAACTTCCAGCATCTCCTATTGTTTTTCACCTTTGCCAGTGGCTTGGAAGAGTTAAAACTAAGACAGGGGGCCCCTCTCCGTGTCTTTTTAAGGCCCCTGCTCGTTCTCTAGAGAGGAGCTGAAACATTCCCCTGTGACCCTTAAAAGACCCCACACTCTACTTCCTCTGAGGGATTGCCACTGTAACTTTTGGGCATCCAAAGAGCCCATTTGGAAGGGAAAGTGGTCCAGATGTCACTGAAACAGAACCACTCTGAGGAGACCAAGGGTCTTGCAGTGTTAACAATTGTTTTCTGTGAGAAACCGTCTCCCAAACTCCACACAAACCCACCCACCCGAGGTTCGGCGGGAATTGGTGGAAAACAACTCGGAGGAAATACAGCTGTTCCCTCTGAGGAGCACGCATGGGGGAAGCCAGGCCTAGGATGAGGGGGTGTTCCCGGGGCTGTGACATACAGCATTCCTTTTGCTTGAGGCATCCAAGCCCAAGGAGCTGCAGTCTCCCCTCGGGAATATGACATAACCACAGCCGGGAAGGGCCTCACAAAAACAGTCCAGTGTCCACGCGTCCTTCTCCAAAGAAAGCCCCTTCCCATCCTCTGTGCGAGAACTCTCGCGTGCGCCGAGGCTCAACCACCCCCCCCCATCTCCTGCTAGACAAATACCCCAAAGTCAACGATCTGATAGGATGTGTTTATATTTACATGGTACATTTTAAAGCAATGGCTACATTGGTCATACATATTAGAAACCATAAAAAAAAGTTAAGAACTAAAATGTACATCATACACTTGTATATATATTTTTTACACAGAGGTAAAAAGGCTTATTATAAAAAAATCAATACAACAGGGTTTTTAGTATACAGGTAAAGAATGAATTATGCTTCAGGCACTTTGTTAATGTGAGCAAATAGCTTGGGGGGGGGGGTTGGTCAGAGGAAGCTTCCAAACAAATCTTTTGGTTAATGTTTTGTTACCACAGATACAAAAATAAAATCTGAATAATTTCTCTCAAATGATTGACGTCAGTATGGCAAAGCTGACTGGGAAAATACTACACACTGTTCAGCTGCAGTGTGGCAATTAGAGACGTATTTACATCAGTGTCCCTACGGCTTACCTTGTGCCCTTAACCGCTCGCTGCCTTCACAGACCAAAACGTATAGGCGGAGTAAGATTCACTAGCATAACTCTTCAAAGGGGTGGAAAAGGACAAGGGGTAAATAACCACTAGACAGGGACTACAAACAAAACGTGGCAGGATATGTGTGTTCCTAGTGAAATAAATAGGGGCACTTGAACTGAGGTCTAACAAACCTACATTAGTGTTGTGCTTTGTAGAGAGGAGAGACCTTGAGAAAAGGCCCTGAGGAAATGCCTCAGGATGGGGGGCTTGGTGGGGGTGGGAGCTGGTCTCTTGACAGGGTCTGGAGGCTGGCTGGAGGTTTTCTACATGTTCTCCAGGCTGGGAAGCAGTTCTCGTTTCTTCCATCACCAGACTGGCAGCGCTCTGCTCCTTTTCCAAGCAGGAAGGCCCAAACCAGTCACTCCAACAAAGGAAAAACGTCTACCAACTAACTCCTAAGCACACGGAGTATTTACACCGATGATCTGACTAAAGAGATGTGATGGGCGCTCAGATGAACTGAAAACATTCCATGAAGGTAAGCATGGCTAGCACTTTCTCAATATGATTGGCAGACTGGAAAAAAGTCCCTTTCCTTGAAGACTGCTGTCCTGTGTGCAATAGAGAAGGGATGGGGGAAGTGGAGATACAGAGAGCAGGCCATGCCCTCAGCTGGCAATTACCACAGGGAAATCATGGCGGGAAGAACAGCCAGCCTTGACAAGCCTGTCCCCTACGGTCTCCATGACGTTCTGATTGTACTATGCTAGGTACCACTCTTCACTTTTCTCCTTTCTGCAACAAGAAGATTTGGCTACTCCTTGCAATATATTAGAAAAATACTCTTTTCCAGCTAAGTAGAAGCCTCCTACATGGCAAGGCGACAGGTCGACCCAGACTGCTAACCTAACCATCTGTGCACCCGAACTGGTAAGTCTGGGATTGGAGATGCAGGAGAAAGACACTTAGGCATTGGAAGGGTTTTTACATATGGCCTTGTTTTTTTCCCCCCAAGTATAAATGAAGAATTTGGTGATGGGAAATTCAGTCCAGAATGAAAACAAAAACAGAAACCCACAAACAAAATGCAACCCACCACTCTTCAGATTTAGGACATTTAAAATGCAACCCCCCCCCCCCCAGAAAATAGCCAGTGGGGGTGTGGGAGGAAGCTCCTTTAATTTTATTTACCACAACCTCAGTGTTTCTCAACTGTAACTCTTTGGAGAACACGGGTGTGTGTGTGTGTGTGTGTGTGTGTGCGACTAGACTATTTCGTTTGCAAAACAATGAGCACAATTTCTTAGTGTTTTCTTCTAATATTGCTAAATTTTTAGAAGTGGTGGTGACACAATTTTAAAAAAGTTCTACTTTAGGGGTTATGTGGAGGCTCAGAGAGACCTGAAATCCCCCTTCTCTAGCCCTGGTCCATGAGGATGCAATGCGGTTTAAGGAATTTTCCTGATTCACACAAGTTAATCTGAAGTTAAGGCTCAATTCTCAGTCATTTTATGGGTGAATGTTTTGCATCAGTAAATAATTGACAGAGAATGATGATGGGCTCCAGACAGAAACTGCAGCTTCATTGGGAAATTTGGCTTTACAAAAGTTAAAGCGATCTCGTTTCGGGGTAGAAGTTTGTTAACTAGCTCACCTCCTATACATAATCTGACTGCAGGTTAAAATACTTCTGGTGGGGTTTCATCGTTCTGACATTACCTATCCGCAGGAACCCGATGCTCCTTAGCGACCAGCAAGCTGAACCAAGAGAAAGAGCGTCTGGGAGAAACCAACTATAAACCCCACCCCAAACCGCCAGTTACGACTACAGGCGCCTTTGCACTGGAAGAGGTGGGCAGGAAAGACATGAAATCAACACATGTATAAGACAGATTGATTACAGATTGTTAATAATACCCGAGTGTCTGTGCGGAGGTTCCTGTCCTTCGAACACTGTGTGCGTGCGTGTGTGTCTGGGTGTGTGTCTGATGCAGAGTGGGTGGCTGGGGGAAGTGCAGAGTCCACCAGGCAGGCTCCCCAGGCTGGAATAGCTCCTCAAGGTACCAGGGAGCGGGGAAGAAGGTGAGAGTATGTCGGAGACAACAAGTTCCCTTGTGGCTGTGGGGGGAGGAGGAGGAGGGGAAGGAGGGAAACCGAGTCACACGGCCGCTTTGTGCTTCCCGCCGCAGCACCTGCACAGCACTCCGCAGTGGTAGCAGGCCCGAAGGGGCAGGTAACAGCACATACAGGGGGCCAGGAAAGACAAGGCAATAAGAGCCATCCACCGGAGGCAAAACTTCTCGTCGCTAGTATCGCACGAGCACGGGTCTGTATAGTCTCCCTCGGGGTCCGACATACAGTGATAGAGCATGCTGTCCGCACACCACATACAGCTCACGCGGCGGATGCAAGTTCTCACGGAGTCGGGCGCGTCCTGACAGTGGCCCCTCCGGTTCTCCTCGTGGTTGAACATGTCCCTGCAGTACTCGCATCGGGAGCGCTCGCCGTCCTCCTTCCGCCGCCGGGACTTGCCCCGGGACGGCTGGGTCTTGATGACGCTGCCCCCGCGCCCTTTGGGGTCCTCGCCGAGGCCAAAGTCCGCGGAGTCCACGTAGGGGTAATTGTAGTCGTGCTTGGGGACCTCGCCCTTGGCGAAGCGCACGTACGAGTCGGCGTCCTCCGACGTGTCCGGGGACTTGCCCCTCACGGGCGCGTGCCGGTAGTCCTCGTAGCCCGTCAGCCAGATCTTCTCCCTCGGGTTGATGCGCACGATCTCCTCGTCGTCGTCGGGGAAGCTCACCTGGCGGTAGGGCCTCGGCATCGGCTGCCCCGGGAGAAAGGAGACACCATTTTACAGCAGCGGCAAAAACAAACAAATCCTCCACTTACTTGGCCTTGACAAAGGCATTTCTTGGGGAAAAAACGGACCCATCCTGGAATTACTGAACAGCTCCTAGGTCAGAGGTGTGTTGTAAGTTGTGATTCTCAATCCGTTCCTGGGTCGGAAATCCTTTTGAGGTACTACCATACATGAGGGAACGTGTGCAGACTGTAAAAAGGCACTTTGAATTTTTGGAAGCTGAACACACCAAGAGGGAGACGCAGAACTTGAGAGGCCTCCCTAGGACCCTGCCCACCTCCCTTCAGTTACCTCCTCCCTCTAAGGGGACGATGACTGCGGTCCTGATTTCTAACAGCTTATTGGTTTCACCTGTTTCTGTACAGCGTGTTCTCTTTTGCAAGACCAGCTTTTTTCCCGGTGAAACAGAAAAGCACGGGAGTGTACTGCCCCTTATAAGGTATGTATGCAAACAGGTGCACACTGGGTCACAATAGAATATGCATTTTGCACTGTGGGTCATGTTCAGGAAAGCAAAAAGGGATATGAGGAGCTAGGATACAGGGGTATCTTGTCATCTGGTTGGGAAGATACAGAAAGGGTAGGAGTGCAGATCCGGAGGCTGACTGCCTGGAGTTTGAATCCTGCCAGGATCTCATAGCTGGTGAGGGGCAGGCTGGAATGTGAGCTCAAGCAGGCCAGACCCAGAGCCCCACCCCCAGCCTTCCAAACCCTCCCCTCCTGGCATTCTCCTGGAGGCGACAAAGTCATCTGGGCAGCTAGTCCTGCTATGGCTTGCAGGGAGGCCCTGTTCAGGGTGGAAGGCGCTGAAGCCATTGTTAGCAAACAGAGGCAGGTAAGCCTGCCTGGCCCAGGCACCCTCGGTGTGGCAGAAAGTGAGATTTTTCTACCTCGGAGGTCCTCTGGGGATGAAGGCTTTTTAAGGGGTAAGGAACATGGCTCTGAGTGAAACCACTAGAGTAAAATTCAGACTTTGGAATTTACCAGCAAGCCTCAGATTCTCTATCAAATAGCACAGGGCTATCATGAGAATGAAGAGAATCTACACACAGTGCACACAGAACTTGTCACCATTATTGTCATTCTAATACTGTCCTAGAATTTATCACCTGGTAATTCTATCCATCACTCTCACCAGACTGTGAGCCTCTTGAGGGCAGGGACCACGTCTCACACATGTTGCCTAATTCCTATTAGATTCCTGAGTTTCACAGACTTTGGAAAACCACAATTTTATATAAATCAAAACAAATCCTGGGAGAATAGGCTTTGCTAATTATTTTGCAAAGTAAGGACAGTCAAAAGGTCAATTCCCATCTATAGCTACCATAAAGTGATTTTTAAGAACATTTTAGTGCCAAAATATTAGGAAGCACACAATAGGATTTTTTTAGAGTTCTATAAATCTAGCTTTATGTTGAAAACAAAACTCTCACTGCCCTGTGTTCCTTTTTTTCTTTTCAAAGCAGCCTGGTGGCCACATCACCCTCTACGGGCACCAGTCCATGTCCCACAGTTTGGGAACCTGCTCCGCAAAACAGCCACTCGGTAAATATTTGTTGAATTACTGAATTCCAGATTCCAGCTACATCTCCCCAAGCAAGCCTGGGCCTGCAGCCTGTGATGCCAGGGTGCCCGAGCCAAGCGGACAGCATTCTTTAGTCCTGATCCTGGCTCCGGGCTTGCACACCAAGCCAGGAAGCCGTGTGCACAGAGGAACTCAGGAGGCAGGACGGCACTCTGGGTAAGCACATGCTTGCATCTGTAACTTGTCCCATCAAGGACTCTCTCTGAGCCCTCAGCCTTCTCCTCTATAAACCGGGGCCTCGTGGGATAATTTGTGAGGATTCAACGAGATTAAGCACAGGAAAGGTTTAGCACGGGGTCTGGCCACAGAAAACTAAGTAAGGATGTGCCGCCGCCACATGGAAGGGGAAGGGGGCTGTTCCAGAATCAGGAGCTGCCCACCCCGTGCTCTCGGAAGAACCAGACGGCTGCTCACCTGTTCGAGGTGATAGTGGTCCGTGGGGTATGAGTCATGGAGGTGGCCCAGGGTATAAATCCTCCGGTGCTCACAGGATGTGGGAGAGGAGATTGTCCGAGTAGGTTGTTCCCTCTTCTGGGAGGAATTAGAAGAACTGTCTGTAGCTGTCTGTGTAGAGGGAGGTAACCAAGAGTTAATTGAAACAAAAACAAAAACCAAACCCACATACCCAAACCGAACATGCCGTCTACCCCCACTTGTGGTGTCTTGTTGGACTTCCCGAAATCTGGAGTTTATCTTGGCTGTGGGAGGCAGAAGGACCCCTAAAGGGCCCGATTGTCTAAACATGATGTGGCAGGCTCAAAGGGCAGAGAAAGCCAGCCACCTAACCCTGGAAAGTTGGGTTTGTTTTCTCAAATGTGGGAGCAATCACCAGGCTTTGGGGAAAGGGTCTGCTACATTTGATCAGGAACGGTCACCTCATTTGTAGCCCTGGCTGCATGGGACCCTGGTGAGCAGGGGAGATGCAAACAGATAAAAACCAAACCCAAGTGTTTCTGTGTGGAGCTAATCCCAGCCTGGGAAAGTCTCAGAAATAAGGGTATCTCAAGGGTATCGTGGACATTGGCTTTCCCGGGAGAAATTTTGTAATCTTTGGGTTGAAGGCAAGCCTTGGGGGTCACTGTAAGCTGGGAGAGAGAGAGAGAGAAAGAGAGCGAGGATCACACAGAGAATGAAGGCCCCTGTCTGTTGGTGGTGAGAGCTGCTCTCCCAGTAGAAGCAATGGGTTCAGACTGGAGGCTCTGTGACAGTGTCTTTGGAAGGTGATCAGATATTGGGATGGACTGTGGCCACCACCTTGAAAACCAGGAATCCTCAGAACCTCCTCCTCCCCTGGCTCCTTAAGAGTCACAGATCCTTTTCCCTCCCAAATTGAGGAAAAGGTTTTTCTTGTATCTAGGTGTCCTATTTCTGGCAAATATCAAGGAACTCCTCCTTGGCTCTTGCTTCTCAATCTCCTATTCCCCTTGTCTCATTTGCTTCTTTATCTCTTTATTTTACATGTTTTGTGTTAGCATCCTGTATCTTTTGGGGCGCAAGGTTAAAACAGACTTACGAAAATTATTTTTATACCCTCACCCCCCAACTTATAAAGTAATACATGCCAAGAAAAATGGGACCAGTATTTAGGACAAAGACAACCATAGTCCCATTATTCAACTTAACTACTGTTAATTTTTAAAATTTGGTGGATACGTGCAGCACTTCTTTGGAGGCCAACTCTTCAGATTTTTTTTTCTCTAATCCTGTTTGGTCCAAGTGATGCAAAGCTGACGCTGTTTCTGATCCCTCAATCCAGAGTGACTAATTCAGATATGGACTCACAGTCTTCTCTGATGTAATATGGAGATTTTTCATGGAGAGGTCAGAAAAAATGCTGTCTTTATCTTTGAAGTTAAGATCTAAGGGTCCTAGAAGTCTGGAACCCTGGTGAGGGCACAGGGAAAGAACCTTCTGAGGAGGAAGTGAAGCCAAACCAGGAGAAGGCAGCACCCCGCCCCCCCCCGCCCCCTTCCCGATGCCATTCAAGCTTCTGGATCCCGACAAGCCTGAATCTTGATCTACTTTAGGCTGTCCCCAGGGTGTGAGCGAATTCCCTTGGTAACTTCAGCCAGAATGCGTTGGATTCATCACTGGGGCGCACTTTCCCCTCACTTCTGCACCAGCCCCACCCCGGCAGTCCCGCCAGCAGCACACTCCTGCCTCTCCTCACTCCTCTGCACAGCAGGGCAGTGGAACTGGGCACGCAGAGTCGGCTGCTTCTCTCCTCGGCCCCTTGGGAGCCACCCTACTGGCAAACAGCACATGCCGGATCCACTCTGGGGACGGTGCGGTCCACTTGGAGGCCCAGGGCGCCCCACCCCACCCGCCGTGGGAGGCTGTGGAGATCAGCACCCCTGTGCTTTGGTGGGGCAGGTCTGTCAAATCGTGGGGTCCCCGCCTGAGCCGTCCGCTTCCCCCAGGAAGGGCATCATCACTCATAACAGGTCTCTTTTTTTTTCCCCCCTCAGTACTTCAGAACTCAGGGAAGAATTGCTATTTACTCCTCAAATCCCAGTAACTGAAAGAAACCAAACTGACACACAGGAATTCTTACTTTCTCCCAACTCTGTCCTGTTTTCTGGCTCTGCCCCACTCTCTGCTCACATCCTCAGAGGTACTGACTGCCTCCCCCTTTCCACACACAGGTGGTTGTAGATCAGCCAGAACAATAAAGCCAAGAGCTCTTCCCGGGGTCCAGCTGCGCAAGTGCAAGCCGCGTGCCAGACCTCAGCTACAGGGGCGTGGACGCAGGACGACAGGCTCCCGGCCGCGCAGGGTCCTGCTGACCAGGGCAGGCAGCCCCTGCAGAGCTGGCCTGAAATGCAGCCCTGACCCCCATGCCCACGGGGGCGTCCATACACAGCACTGCTGCGTCTAGCTCTCACGAGCCCTGCCGAGGCCCACTCTCCGAGGGATTTTGCCAAGATGAACACGAGCACAACCTCTCCAAGTAAAAAGGTGCGCCCTGCTTTAGGTAAACCCAGGAGATAGGGGATGATGTGTCATGATGCAAAGGTTTCTAAAGATCTCAATAAATACTTCCTGAATGAGTAGGGTGGGGGCCCTTCAGCGTGATTCAAATCTCAAGGGTTAAATTCTTAAGCAGCACCCCAATGATCGTCCTCTTGCACATTAGAAGCTACCCATGTACTCAGCATCATGGTCACCTTGTTAATCATCTGTTCGCCCTCCTCCACCCTATTTTCTGTGACCTATGTCCAGGTTAACAATGTATAGAAAGTCATTCTGAGCCACGAGGCACACCCGTGTTTTCCTAGAGTTCATCAGCCAACCAGCAAGGGCACCTCTTATACACCCATCCTACCTCCCTAACCCCGAACTGCCTCTGCCCACTGCACAGTCAAGTGCAAAGCTTCCTGGACCCTATCAGAAAACATGAGACTGAGCAGAGCCTTTAAATATCTCCTCATCTAACGACAAATTCGTATGGGAGCAAGAAGGCCAGAAAGCTTTGAAGCGTGTCCACAGTTCACCGCCTCCTGCAGGCAGAGCTGAAGTCCACGCCTGCACTGCTGGGGGTCTGTCTGGACTCTGGCAAGGAGAGCATGTGAGAGAGGCTGCACTGAAGCCGAGGCTTATTCCAGATCTATGGTGTCAGATCTTGCCAAGCAGTGAGTGTGACCTACAAACAAAAGCAATGTACTATCAAGGCACCTCCAAGAAACAAGGGGGGGGAAATCTGCCTTTTATCCATATGTATGCCCCTTTTCTTTTTAAAATTAAGTAATCTCTATGCCCAACGCGGGGCTCAAACTCACGATCTTCAAGAGTCGTATGCTCTACAGACTGAGCCAGCCAGGCGTCCCATCCACATGTACTGCGGAACCGACTCTCCCATAACTCTGTGGTGTCCACACACGCTGGAGAAATGCAGCCCACCTAAGCTATGCGCACGTGCACGCACACACACACACACACAGTCATAAGCAAGATTCCCGAACATGTTATTTGCATGCACAAGCAAATGACACCTACCAACCGACCAATCTGACATCGTCACCTTCAACTCGAAAACTCTGGCCGTGTTTTAAACTCCCCGTGCCCTCCAGGGGTTGTCTCTGTCGTGGGTTTGAGCTCAAGCAGAACAGAAGCAGAGGCTTCGGCGCCGCCCCCCGTGGACAGCGAGGGCCGGCACTGCTGCTGACCTGCGGGCGCTCCTGTGTAATGTGACTTGGCGAGCAGACCCAGAACCACTGCCACCTGCAGATGTCGCCTCCGAAAAATCTTGCCTCTGGCTTTGGGTTGGACTCTGACTCAATGTCCATGCCCATTATTCAAAAGATGTCCAATGAAGAAGTTTGCAACCTAATCGGAGGCACCAAACAACAGAAATGCAATGAAGTGTTCTAATGCTAAATAACAAGGTCTCAGCTCAGGAAGACTGGATGGGAATCATCCTCTAATTATAAAGTTGTGTGATTTTGTTCAAGGTAACAAGCTTTGTGTGGCCTGATGATGAAGCCCTCTAACAGGGCACAATGCTGAGACAAGACTTTGGTAAAGAAGAACCTAGACAGAACAGGAAGGTGAGAAAAGGAATGAGGGGATGGTGGAAGCAAGGGTCAGAGAGTCTAAGACGAAAGAGTGGGCACTGCCAACCTGAAAATCAAGAAAATAGAGACATGAGTGGCCTGAGCGAACCCACTTGGATCGTGGCACTCATTCCTTCCCTGGAAGGTTTTCGGGTTTGGGCTGGGTGCTCTGTGGGATGTGGGCTCAGACACACAAGGTGATACGGCAGGGGCAAGGCCAGGTGGCTTCCATCCTAGATGGGTGGACAACCCAGAACAAGGCTCAGGAAGAGAAAAAGAGGTTTAAGTTTACCAGTGAACATCTAATAAAATTCTTCAAAAAGAGCAAGCTTCCAAGGGCCAAGACTCTGCAGACATAAATAGTACTTATTTTGAGAGTTCAGTTATTTCTTGTAATTCCCCAGAATTTAACAACAAATGAAACACACTAGAGCTTCAGAAGTTGATACAGACTTTTCTTCTGAATAACTGATTTTAATGTCCCTATATCTGACAATAAATCACAATCCGAAATGCAAAAGATACTGCGCTGAGGCTGCCTGGTTTGGGTGGAAACCAGAATGAATGGGGAAAGGAGAGTAGAAGACCCGCGTCTGACGTTAAACCTGTGGCCGGCTCCCTCCTACTGCACAGGCGTATTTTATAAGACAGCATTTCTTACTCTTGGAACCTTGGCTATTCTTCCCTTTCCTTGGGTTTACCTGGAAGTTCTTGAAGCACACGCACCTGTTCGCATGCCTGGGTCCGGAGAAAGCCTTCTTCATTTGGAAGGTGAACCTCTTTGACCAAGGGAAGCTCAAGGAAGGGAGGAGGGAGAAGCACCAAGAGGCCAGAGCAGCTGAGGAGGCAGTTTGCTTAAATTACCCATCCTGGGATGGAACCCTGGCTGGTGACCAAGAGCTTTTTGGGGCATTCAGGGTGGGTCAGACCTCTGCATTTTGAAGTGAAACAAGTGTTTTCAAGGCTATGTGCATCCCTTCAGCTCCCCTTGAGTTTTCCTGCTAAATCTTTGTTTTTCCAAAAGGACCAGAATGGCGGAGGCAGCAGCAGGCTAACGCTTAAGGGTGAGGAAAGATGTGCCTGGGGCTGTTCTTTCAAGGACACTTGGAACTACTGAGGAGGCAGCTGGAGCGTCCTACTCGACTCCTTATCTGCGACTGTGAGGGGGTCGGCAACTGGCAATTTCCTTCTCCGTCTTGGGGACGGAGAGGAATGGGACAAACCCCACCTTCAGGAAGGCAAACAAGGATAGTCACTTCATCATCCCTGTGTCCCCAGGAACACACAAGCTGATAGAAGGAAACACATAGAGTCAGGAGCCAAGCGCAAGGAGCAGCCGCATCAGGAGGTTAAGAGGCCAACGTGTTTTAAACAAGGCCTAGAAAAATGAAGGTAAGAAATGCTTAAGGAGCCAGACCATCTCACCCAGAAATCACACAGCCCTGTTAAGCACCAACTGCACTGTATCAAGAGAAGTGACTCCAGGCCAGGTTAGGCCAGGTGTCTTGGGACAAGCTGTTTGACTTCCCAGGGCCTCAGTTTCCTCATGTGTAAAACAAGGGGGAAGCATTCAGTGATGTCCGCGGTCTGACGGAGCTGTGAGCGGGCACGTGTAACCCTCCTCCCCTCCTCTTAAGAACATTAGGGGTCTGAGGGGTTTGACCACGACTGTTGTTGCCTCGCTGATTCGAGGGCCACAGGAGTCCTTCAGATTAAGGACTGCAGCCTTGGCTGCAGATGCTGCTATTTTACATCTTTAAAGGAGGCTACCTGGCAGTTATGACCGCAATTCGTAGTATTTTTACTGCAGTCCGCCACCAAAATAGATCTCAACAGCTGATGCAACCAACGCAATATTCGACCTTCTTTCCACTGCAAGGGCTTCGCATTTTGTTTTTTTTAAAAAGTATGCACACACACTAAATATAAATGTATACTATTCCTCTCAGCTTCAGGCCGGGTGACCGTACTGATGACACAAAACTCTGGGCACCTCCTGCTTCTCGGAAGACAGTAAACTGGATAGTTGAGTGCCTCAGAAGGCTCCTGGCTCAGGTGGCTTGACGAGCTCTTGTTTCTAACTCTTCAGTAAAGCACGCCTTCCCCCGGGTACCTGCTAGCCCCACAGACCTGTGGCCAGCCCTTCTTCCTTCAGTAAACTGGAAGTGGTCACCCATTTTGTCGACAGGTAGCACTGTCTCACCTGTCCTCCGGGCCTACAGAGGTTCCAGGTGTCCTCTTTCAAAAAGGCAAGAAAGCAGCCGGGCACGGGCTCTTGCGTGGTGGCCCCAGCCAGCAGGCCGTGTGGGTCTACGAGGCAGCTACAGGAGCAGGCGAAAGAGACGACTTTG